AAGACTCCGTCTCAAAAAAAAAAAAAAAAAAAAATTTTTTTTTAAATTGTGGCCTGGGCTCAGTGGCTGCTGCCACTTTGGGAGGCTGAGGTGGGTGGATCACTTGAGGCCAGGAGTTCAAGACCAGCCTGGACAACATGGTGAAAACCTGTCTCTACTAAAAATACAAAAAAATTAGGCTGGTGGTGTGTGCCTATCCTCCCAGCTACTCAGCGATCCACGTGCCTCTGTCTCCCAAAGTACTGGGATTATAGGTGCCTCTGTCTCCCAAAGTACTGGGATTATAGGTGTGAGCCACTGTACCCAGCCAATCATTCCTTATCTGTGGCAGATGGGGTTAGCCGCACAGATTCAGAGGAGGGGGAGTTTTTACAAGCCGCGATGAGGAAGGGCCAGATCTGGGCCATGAAATCTTACTCTATTTAGAGGCGTGGAGAGAAGCTGACAGGACATGCTAGAAGGGACTCAGGGTGATAAATTGCCAAGTTAGGTTGGAGAGGAGAGACATGGAGGCCTAGGGTGGCCACAGGGTAGCTGTCAGCGGTCAGCACCTTTGGAGGCTGCCAGTGCTGGTTGTCATGGAAACCAGCCAGCAATCTTGTAGGAAACCTGCTGACTGGGAGCCAGGTACCATGTCCCACTGGCTGAATCGGGGCAGCAGCACTGTGAGACTGGCCCTGTTACTGTCCCCAGGTACGGGAGAGCTTGAATACAAAGAGAGGAAGAGCTGCTGAAGGCCACATGACAGAGCTGGTGCCCTTCTTCATGGGGCCGTGGAGCAACTGGGTGGGGGCTGGGCGCATGAGTTCCCTGAGGGAGACCTGGGGACTCCCCACCTCCAGCCTCTGGGGCAGGGGCTACTAGGGCTTAGAGTGGGGTCACTGATGGATCTTTTCCTCCCTGTCCTTGAAGGATTACACAGTGCGTGGCCTCCTTGGCAAAGCTACAGATGACTTCTGTGAGCATGGGAGGCTGGTAGAGAAGACAACCTATGGTGAGAACCGGAAGTGGCTGCTGCTGCCTCCCTCCGTGTTTGCTTTCCCCGAGTCCTCTCCCTGCCCTAGGCCACACAGGCCCCTTCTCAGTTCCACTCCACACACCAGGCTTGGGCTGAGGCTTTGGCCATGGGATCTGTCCACCAGGAGCACCCTCTACTCCCCTGCTTGCCTGGCTGAAATGTAACATCATTTCCAAAGACCCTCGTTTCTCTCCATCCATACTGTCAGTCTTTTACCTTTTCCTTTTTTTTTTTTTTTTTTTTTTTTTTT